AATGTCAAAGTCAGCATTGGAAAGAACAGATAAACCTTCAGCACTCTAAAATCAGTTTGAAAGTCTGCTGCAATCAGCACAAAGAACAGAATTTGTATTTTCAACACATACGTTAAGTCAGTTAGTTCTTCTACATGGGTCAGAGACTGGAGGTGTCACCGAAAGCATTTCGAATAGGTTATTACAGACTCTCATCAAAAACTGCCTTCATTCCATACTGATGATCAGATGGCCAGAAAGGATTAGCAATCAGGTACTCTGGAACGAAATGGAGGTAGATCGTACACCTGCTGAGGAGACCAGTGAGTGGTATAGTGCACCAGGCCCTCGAGATATCAATTTTTCGGAAATTAACACTTGCATTTATCTTCCTTTATTCACTTTTATTTTTTAAAGGCAAAGTTAGTAAGAACATTTAAAAATATTAGGAAGAGAAAGAAGAGAATATCTAATTTAAACACGCACTAAAGACTTTTCTATTTACTTTTCAAGGCAAAGTAAGAACAATGTCACTTTTCTTAGCTTCAATTCTAAAAAGAAATTTGATATTATCTGAAAATATTGAATTGAATGACTCCAAGTGTCAGAGTGAATAAACACACAACTGTTGTGTGGAGAATCATCAATGGAAAAGTCACTCACGATCAAAGTTGACAGATAGGAATATCCATTGGAACCGTTGCAGTGACATGCAAAAGAAGGGCGACTTAGTGTTACAATTCTGACTAAATGACAACTTCAATTATATTTGAGCATATGACATAAGCTAAAAGAATTATTTATAAAATCATACGTGTGCGTGATTCGTTGTTATCATTCAACCAGAAGTTTACTAATAGCATGATGAGTTTCTAGAAGGATATATCTCAAGGAGGCAGAAAATCGATGGTGGTTTTATTATCACAAGATATAAAAAGTGTTGACTTATAATGAATAAACCAGCGTTAAAGCATCTGGTATAGAATAAAAACACTACAGACCTGGACACACATACATAGTTTGGAAATCATTTTCTGAGCGCTTCATCAGGAGTGCGAAAAAATGACGGGGAATAGTACTTTGTGAAGTGGTTGATAAAAAAACACTAATATTTCAGTGATTTGAACATTCATTACATATATCTTTTAGAAAAGAGTTTAAGGCGATAGGTCCACAGAAAGATACCATATTCATAATATGAAATCCCATTTCTAACAACTTATTCAATTTCCCAGTCTATAGCCTAATCTCATACATACTTAGAAAGCTTTATGGGCTAGTTATCGGTAATATCACCCCCATGTGTACTGCGTATCCCATCACTATGGAGATAGAAAGATATGAAGAGGATGGATGTCTCTGGCCATAGATGTCTGTATTCTGTCTCCCGTGTTATGCGGTATAACAAAATGAGTAATATCGAGGTTAGACATAGAGTGCTAGGTGAGAAGGATAAGTCAATTAGTGAAGTTGTGAAACTACATAGACTGAGATGGCTAGTGCATGTTGAGCCACCACCTTCCTTGTTGAGGAATGTTAGCTGATATAAGGTTGGGTTGGAAACGAGTTAGGGCTGGTAAAAGAAATGAACAACCTGAAATCAGTCCATAGAGTCTTTGGCCGTTTGTTTGAGTCTGGTTGTAGTCTTCAGGAGACTCAGAACCACTAGTTGAAGGCTATTGGTGACATGGTTCAAAACAATTCTCAATGGTCCAGATGCATTCACTCTTTATGATCTCCAATATCCATTAACCCATTATGCTTTTATTCCACGTTACTATTCTTTCTCCGTCACATTTCTGTTTATTATAGTTCTTTTGAATCTCTTCCTCTTTTTTTCTCTACCTTTGTGTATTATATGGAGGGTGGCGTCTTGAAAGGCTGATGTTTCGTGCAAAGTTCTATCTTCAGACTCAATCAGTCATTGACACATTTTCTATATTTGAGATTCACTTTCAACCACTTCTTCGTTAAATGTGTTAACATCAACAAACCACAGAGTATAAAACAACGGAATTACAATTATTAACATCTTAGTGAATTTTTTTGAGTAATTTCAATATATATACATATATATACTGTGACATGTACTACTGATAAGATCTATCAGTAATATATAAAGAGACGCCCATCAGCATAAAATCATCAAATACCAGGGAGATCCATTTGGTGTCAGAGAAAGCAAATGATACATCGTTGCGGAGATACATGAAAGACGTGACACGGATACAAAGAAACACAATATAAAGCTCAGAAGTAGCACAATACACACATAATTTCGGTATATAAGGATACCAAATTGCAAATAAACATTCCTTTACCAAGTCTCTCGTCTTCCTACCATTACAAAAGACCATGAGGAAACTAAATGGTGTTTCAGTTTTTTGAACAGTATATACGATAATATTGTATGCATCATTGAACTTTTATCTTTCTACGATGCTAGTTGAAATGCGCATTAGTAATTTAACTATACACTTACACTGCTTCAACAAATTTCATTAATGTTTTTTTAAAGTTGTGTTTGTGCGTCCTTAAATAATACATTATGTTGCAAGCACCAGAATAGGTGATTAGAAAAGAAATAAAATGTATAGTATAGTTTAAGCATATTTCCAATGTATGTTTTCAGTCAAGGAAGCATTTTATTCTTTAGATAACATAATGTTATTTGGGCGATGGTAGCTAGCAACAGAATCAAGGATGTTCATTTCATCTTATTTGTAGGATTCATTAGCAGAATGCAGCTGCATTCCTAGTGAGTGTTAGATGATTTCCCCTCTGAACCTGAAACCCAATAAAACATCGTCTCAAATGTCAAAGCGTTATTCATTAGGCCACTATGAACAACTTTTGTGTAACGGGTATAAGTTATTTTGTATTCCCCGTTGATTAATTATGTTGGGTCGAAATGCTACGTATCTGTCAGCATATAAACTTCTAATATGGACTGTCCGGTGATGTTTGAAGATCAACATGGTGTTATCTTTGGTTGACATGTCAACAGGCGCCCATCATTTCGGTCCAATATAAATCAATCAACAAGAAAATACAAAAAAACTTGAACAAATCTAGAGAATACACCAACAAGTAACTGTTCTTTCCTTAAAGTTTATCGCAGGGTGTTACCATTGTTGTCAAATATGGATTGTCTCCATATTCTTCACTAGTTTTATTCGTAGTAAGGCTTTGAATAGTTGAATTTTGGTCAGTTTTTTCGATTTCGTATAACACGCAATTATTTCGTGTTGGATTACGTTTTCACTACACTTAACTAAGAGTAGAATGATTTGCCTCATATAGATCAGTAGTTTAAAGAAAAATTCAGCAATCCTAATGCATACAATAATACATAACTACTACACAATAGGGTGAGGCAGAGCTACAGTTCAAAAAAGAAACATAGGTAGGTGTTGGTGGGAGACGTTGATCATTGAATCTTGCTTCCTCGAAGCTACACCTATTACGTACAATAGAAATGAAGCGTCGCCAATACCTGACGTATGAAAAATATTATTACCTTGGCTATGAGCAATAAATTGTCTAGAAACGTGAACAGTAAATAAATAATTCTGTACCACTGTGGGATTTTTAACAAGAAAAAAATTTATTGTATGATGGAATTAAACCCTACCACAGTGGCCAAGTCCCATTCTTGTGTCCACTACAATTTATGACACAAAATAATTACTTTATAGTGTTTAATAAACGAATAAATCAGTTAGTTTGAAGAAGGATGTCAGTTAGCGGGCCACTGAAAACCAGAGAGTACTGGACTGCCATTTCGTCCCTATTTGAAGCTCTTCAGAGCCACACATCTATTACCCTAAAGGGGATCGAACATAAACGCAAAACAGCTATCCAGTGCTCTTTGGTTTTCTGTGATCACTAACTAATGACGAAATCTATACTGAAATAATTCGATCCATACAAAAACCAATTATCTAAATATCAATCTACTGCTCATTAGTGGCTACTGGATGGATATCCTGAAGCCATTACGAGAAACTGTGGCTAGCGAAATTCACTATTTCAAAGCGAAAAAGTTGGAATTCAAGGGTTATTGAATTTCAGCCCAAGTGGTTTAATGGCCAGTGAGCTTGATTTCATAACCTGAAGGTTTCGGACTCCACTCCTGGTGGAGTCTTGGGTGTACAGTGTTTCCTCATCCTTTATGGCTGTGAAACATGGTCACTGAAAATGGAAGATACGAAAAAGCTAGCTGTCCTTGATTATAGGTGCCTGCGTTCTATCAACCATGTTAAGTGGTATAATAAGGTGGGCAATATTGAGGTAAGGCGTCGAGTGCTAGGTAGGGAGGAAAAATCATTCGACGAAGCTATGAAGTTCCATCCATTGAGATGGTTAAGATATGTATTACGTATGGATTCCTAGCCATCTCCTTCCTCGACTGACGGGCGATGTTGGCTGACGTCGGATCAGGTTGGAAAAGAGCTAATGGTGGTCACACCAAAACATGGCTTCATAAGTCAGTGAAATCGACAACAGTTAGTTTAGGCCAGTCAGACTTCCTGACTGGTTGGTGTCCTCGGGATGGTAAAAACCAATGATGGTTGGAGACAATCGGTGGCATGGCTCAAACTCATCGTTCTCAATGGCTGGTGCATATGCATTCACTCTTTGTGATCCATAATATCCAATAAAATTCTATTTTTCTTCCATATTACTATTCTTTTTGCCTCACATTTCTGTTCATCATCTCCCCCCCCCATTGAATCTCTCTCTACTCTCTTCTCTTGCTTTGTGTGCTATATGGGAGAAGTGTGGCAACTCGAGCTCCTGCAAAGTTCTGTGCAGAGTTCAAAGTTGAAACCAGTCTAATTAGTCAGAATTCGAAAGCAAGACGAAACAGCTGTCCAGTGCTTCCTCGTAGCTTTCAATAGTTCTCTGTAACTGTCGTTAATCTGTGATCAAACTTTCAATCAGAAATATCAAATCGGAAAATAAGTGAACGATGAATACAACTGAAACAGAGTTTTTTTTTAAAAATAGAGGATTACCTGCAACACTGCTTCCTTTAGCTAAACAAGATGTTCCCTCTGAATGACTAGCGCCTTGATCTAATACACCATGACTTAACTGATTTGTAATATTTGAATTTGTCGATGAGGTATTCCCAGATGTAGTAGTAGTACTACAATCAGTTGTTAGTGATTTTTGAATTTTACTTCCACTTGTTGATGTATTACTATTGTTAGTATTAGTATGTTTTGATGAGCCAAGAAGGCATGCACCAATAGGAAAAGTGTGCATATTTCGACTACCTATCACATATCGGATAATACGATTCAATAATTCTAATCTGATGACTGAAAGATACTCTTTATTTGTTAAATTCGATACATTTGTATTATGATCAGAATGATCAATAGATCCAGATTCATCGCATAACTCCTTGAATAACTTTCCATAGATGGGATCAATTTGACAAAGATGATAAGCGAACAAATTATTGAAATAATTTGTCGTTTGAATGGATGGCAGTGAAGTACGACCAGAATTCGCTGAAAAAGTTAGATGCACAAGAAAGTTAATTACTAAATTCAGATATAAATAACAAAAGAAGACTTGGCAGTAAAGAAAACCACCTTTTCGACAATATATATATATAACAAAGAATTCATAAAACAAACCAGATTCTGGTTAATTTGTTCTAGAAAATGTGCAACGTATTTTGGAATACTGTTTAAACTGCTTGGCCAGAGGAGAAAAGAAGAATATCAGTAGTCCTGTCCTAAAACACGTTACAAACTTTGAACACCGGGCACCCACCCATGTATGACTGCTTCACACTGCTACACAAAGTTTCTCAATATCGTAGAAAAAGAATTCGAAGGTGTCCTTTGTACATAGCAGCACAATTGGTTATTCGGAATCTGGAACCGGGGCCTTGCATTCGGAGGCTTTACATACACTCACTCGCCTTACCGTGACCAAAGTAACACTCTTGCTATAATTTCCTTCATTTGATTGTTTTAGTTTATTACTATTATTATTACTATTTTATAACTATTACTATCACTATTATTGTTTGTTAGTAACATTGCAGTTTTTACACAGATTTTTTATAAACACTTTATTGTATTTGACCATTTACTTTCGTCTGTTTCGCACGTTTAGATGAATGAGTAATTCCAAGTCCTTTCCTCTTTCTAGTCTCCATTTAGCTTCCAACTTTCAGATCACACTTTACATTACGTAGTACGTTTTCCAGAAAATAGTTAACAGTATCTGATTGGTCTGATGGGTTCTTTCTTTGTTAAATATGAGTACGATTATACATACATCTCTTTAAGTTGGCTGATTGAAAGGGAATATTTTCCTCACCATTACATATTCTTTTGCATAGAAATAAGAGTAAGTAAAATTTGTGTTTTGATTATTTGCATTTCCCGTTTATTGATTGATTATGAAATGGGATCGAAACGCTCGGTCTCTGTTGATATGTGTCGACTCCTAGTACAAACTCTTTGACGATGTCTTCAGGTTAATATAATGTTATATTGCTGGTGTGTGGTGTGTCAGGAGTTCGATTCCTGGCCGATGCACTCCTAAGCCTAGTTTGGCAGGTAGTAAGTTTGGGAAATAGGGAAGGCTGGGTATAAGGTTAGAAACACCAATCCGTTAAAAAAATCATCCCCGTTAATAAAACTTCGTAGCTGAAGCTTAATAATAATAGCTTTATTAAAAAAGTACTTTCGACACAAATATGGAATTTTTTCAGTATGTATACAATATTGCATCTAATTTTTCTCTTCACATAGTACAGGGAAAAATAATTAAACACGGCAATTACATTGGTAATATTGTTAAATAAGAATATGGACGAATAATTTAAGTGAGAATACTAACAACAATATTTTAATGAAAGATTGAAAAGGGCTGTTTACTTTTCCAGTGAGCAAGTAGTGCCACACCTTACACTTTTCTCATCATATAAAATGTGTGCCAAATAAGGTATTGTGGCGTTTTTATATTTAGTTATCCGAGCATAGAGTCTTTTATAGTTGCTTTTAGTCCTTCTTACCTAATGAAATGCAAGGAGAGAGTCGTGTAGAGAAAGGATGCTCAAAGTCCGACAAAATAATATTCGCTAATTTCTTGCATTAGTTCAAGTGTCTATCTACAACAGTATTAACAAGTTGGCTTGGCGACACCTCACTCACCCTACTAATAGCTTTTAGTGACCTTCGTAGTGTGACAAATTCTTTCTTAAGATGAAGCTGGTGGGGGGGGGAAGGCAATAAAGAAGAATAGGTAGGATACAAGAATTAACAAACTGCGACAGTAGAGACTGAATGATACCAAGTTGTCTCAACTTCCTTACGTAGAACGTTAAACTAAACTAAATATCTTTCTAGAAACTAACATAATATGGGAAGACTACGAAAGACCACAGAAAATACACAATACAAGGTCTAGACTTAAAATTTGGTGCAATTAATTATTTAGGCACAGGAATAATTTCAATATCTTCCGTTCAGTGAAAATACCAATGAGAATAACACAAAACGTCCGCACATTTACTGAGGAAAATAGCCAGAATATCACCTGGACCAAGCGACTGGGTAGGTTTCAAGGATGGTTGGCATCTGAGGACGTCGTTTACATTAAAGCCAGAAAAGCAGCAATTATTTAGACTTGCAGCATCTCAAATCATAACATCTTCTAGACGACATATGAACGACAGAAGAAGGATTATTATTTACTTGTTTACCACCGTTGATTTCCTTAGGCAGCTTCCACATATTTGATTGGGTTTGCCATGATAAGAACTTTTGGTTATAGATCCAACTTAATCTCTGTATTTCTGATATAATTAAAATGTTCAGTCTCTTAACACCAAGATAATCCTCTATTTTATCTAATCATTATTTTTTTTCGGCGAAGCTTTTTGAGTTGCGAAAAGGAAAAGCGGTCAATACTTAAGAAGAGTGTCTCTTCTGGACAACAAATAGCAAGACAGAATTTGAGATAAGATGTCACGTTTGCGAATGTGTCATCTAGAACTTGTTCAGTAAATAAGTCCCGGTTTGTATCACTTAACATGCTTCTTAGATTGCGTATATTGTCATTAGAGTAAAATCTATGTTGTGTTTTCTTGCCAAGGTTCAAGAAGGCCCTTTTGTGCAGCTTTCCGAACATTTTGGGCAATATTCGTATGATACAATGATCAGAATTAAGTAGTATGGTTGTTTTTCGAAATGTGGCGAAGTTATTTGAGAAAACTAGATCAAGAATATTTTTCAGTCGCGTTGAAAAGTTGACGATATGTTCATGATGATCATGCTCATAATAATGTAAGGGAGCTGTAGTCAAAGGAATTGAAGTCACCAGTAACTACTGACAAAGAGTTGTCAAAGGAGGTAGCAGCAGAAGAAGTAAATTCATCAACAAAAAAGTACAGTTCTGACAGACTAAATCCAGGTGCAATATAAACGTTCGAACTCTATATGTAGTTATACTTAGACATGTTTCAACTCGGGACACGAAAGGAATTCTTTCATTCTAGTACATGGTGACTAGCAGTGGAATCCAGGACGTGAACATCGTCTGACGAGTCCTGAATACAACGACATGTGCATTCGGGATTCTAATGCTAGTCACCATAAACCAAACTAAAGAAACAAAGAGTAGTTGTAAATAACACGATAGATGAACAATTAACAAGACAATGATACTACTTACAATCATTCAGATTAAGCTGATTGGATGGTGAGTCATTTATATTCTGTTGTCCTCCACCAAATGAAGAATTTCTCTGAACACCATTTTTCATTGAATTGATTTGATCATAATAAGGTGATGTTGATGACAATGATGATGATGATAATGTTGCATGCAACAATTTATTAACTCCATCAATTGGTATAATAAAAAAACGAAATGATGTAGCTAATTCTGTTGATCTACAACTCAGCTGATCAACATATGCACGTAGAACCAAGTTAATAAGTTGATTACCGCCAAGTATACAAACTTTAATGCAATCACCATCTTCTAATATTCTTCGTGTATGACTTTGTGATGATTCATTAGCTAAACGTGTAAATACTGTTCGCATTTCACTGAATGAATTAACACTAATTAAACGTAAATTCAATTCAGATAGTAAATCATGTATAAGCTGTAGAAAAAGAACGAAAAAAAGACAGAATTCGCGCTTTAATTATTCAGTTAACAGATTATATTGTATTGCATGAAATCACTTTTATGAAAAGAAAACTCTGCAACAATGGATTAGGACTAGAATTTGTCAGCACTGTGTGTTAGAATATAATTCTGCTTTATTATTAATATGGATTGGCCATACTCTGAGGAAACCATCAAGTAACATCACTAGACAAGCCATTGCTCGAGTGGAACCCGAAAGGGAAGCGGCGAGTTGGTCGTCAGTGCAAGGGTGACTTGGAGGAGGTCATGTGAAGAGGAGATGAAAACGTGCGGGTAGACTTGGAGCCAGGTGAAGACTCTAGCAGAGAACCGAACGCAATGGAGACGTGAGGCTGAAGCCCTATGTTCCTCTAGGAATTAAAGGAAACAATAATAATAATAATTAATATTCTCGTTTTGCTTCTGAGTGGAAAATAGGACTCCAACAGAACATTTGATCCTGTTCTCCGCAGTTCCCTCAGACTAGCTCCCCGATTTCCCCTCTTACAATCTCCTCAATGTTATTCTCGGACACCCGTCCAACCCGTCGTTCCTCATATGGGTTTCACTTGAGGGCCTGGCACGTGATGTCATTCGGCAGTCTTCTCAACGTTAGTCAAATCAATTAATGTGTGTATGAGAGGAAATTCACTGCATACCAAAAAGGTAGGGTAGCTTTGTATTATGTATCACGACGGTGAAAGTAAAATACGGATATTAGGTAGCTGTAAATAGGTTCATCAGTTTTGTACTGTTCATACATAAAAATAGAATAAGATGACGAAACACGCTCCTATACTCTTTTCGACGGTAATTAACTAAATTTTGGATAATTTTCATCCAATAACGTCGATTGAAAGAGATGCAATTGATTTAAAAGGATGATAGAACATCTCAACAAAGACTAAAAAGACAATCTCTTTCATATTCTACAGGAGTTTCCTATTTAAAAAAAAGTCCATTATGAAAAGAAACCAGCAAAGTTTATCCGAAAAATGTTGGAATACCCAACCAACCAAAATCAGATATACTATTGGTGAGTGAATACCTATCAATGTAGAGTAGTTGTCAAACTATATAATTTTTGAAGAGCGAAGTTAAAATAGAGGCGTAACGAAATTCTACATATTGCAATGCTTAACACCTAATTATTAAGAGCTTTCATTGACTTAATACCTAATTAAAACTAAATAAACTATTTATGCAGTACATAATGACTACTAACTACTGTCCTACATGATGTTAGATGTTTGGAAGAGGCAGACAGGAAACTATGCATTTACGTTGAGCTAACAGCAACCCAAAGCAGACCACAGTGGCTTCCATAAACGACCTGGTACAATTGAGGATGGGTAGACTTGGATCATCCTCTCGAAATACTCTTATTTGGCTATGCGTTCACAGCCCCTGCTAAGGAAGTCCTATTCACTGCCTTCACGTGACAGCAGTGTGTTCCTTAAAAACATTAAAGCGTGAATGCAGATGTCTGGCGGTTACAACCAGTTTGATCGATATACAGGTCCACCTAGGGGAAGCTGGAAAATCCTGATTCCAAACCTACGGTGTAAATGGGTTACAGATTTTGAAACGATTGGATGACGTATGGACCTGTTTTCGTCACCGGAAACCATGGGAATGCAACACTACTGCCTCGTGGATCAAACTTCAAGTCAAAAGCTCAAGAGATGGTCCCATACGGTAACCGCCTGCTTCGGTCTAGGTGCATCAGAGCAGTATCCCAGCCCTTGCATAAACTATGAGATTTCGTGTGGCGCATCTCTTGGCATCCACAGAATACTACGTTTGTGTTTTACCTATAATACTAATAGTAATACTACATCGCAAAGATAACCCACTCAATGACCAAGCTACAAACTTAACTGATAGAATTCAATCAGAACAGATACAAAAAACACTAGAAAATGGACATTGGTAACTCCCTAATGATGAATCAACAAAACAATATCCCATCTGTCGCATAACGTTGCACAGGGAGTAAGATAAACAACAACATCGAAAATAAAAAATGAATTAAAATTGCAAAATGTTATTTCGTCTTACTTTTCCAGATTTTTCATGACCACTGACGATAAATGTGACATTGGCTAATTTTTCAATATCGGATATATTAGGCTCCGTAGAAATCTGTACACAAGGGAGAGAGAAAAAAAAGTATGTGAACAAAGTATATATGTTGAACAAAATAAGCTGATTCTATTTCAAAGTACAATACTGGTAACAATACAATGTAAAAATCAGATTACAATTACACTAGAATCTCTCGACAAATTTATTTCATAGAACATCAACTCAACTGAGTGAGAAAAAAAACAAATTTCAAAATAGAAAATAACAATTGTTCCTTTTTTTAAAATGAAGAATTTTCATCAAATATGTATGAAACAAAAAAAAGACAGATAGGAACTGTACTCTAGACAACACCATTACCGATTAGAAGTGACAGTGTTATCCAATGCAATTTAAGAGCATCAGGATAAATATAATACGATAAGAATACATTTGACTTTGCCGGGAAATATACAAACTAAGCATGATTTCCCTGTCGATTTGATTGGACTGAAATGTTGTGTCTCCGGTGTCATGACTATCTCCTAGTACGGACGCTTCGACGATTTCTGAGGGTTAACTTGAAGTAATTTTGGTGGCCGGTGATTAACAGTGAAATCCAAGATGAGGACTTCATCCTATTTGGGACCCTTCAGCCGGATCTATCCACATACCCTAGAGAGTGATGGGGTTCCAACTGAGACTCGAACCCAGCACGCAACATTTCAAAGGCCCACGCGTTATCCACTAGATGATTTGGGCCATGAGTTTATTCTGAGATGCCTTCAGAACGTCTATACTAGGAGCCGATATGTCAACAGTTAGCTCAGTCAACGGGAAAAATCAAAATTTAATTAAAAACAAGCATTAACTTATGCTTGTTGCACTAGATGTGGCTCTCATGGCCAAGTGGTCTAGTGGATAACGATTTGGCGTTTGTAACGATTGGCACTAGGTTCGTGTCTCAGTGGGAACATCACCACTCACTGGGAATACAGGTACATACGGATGACGAATATCAAATGGGACGAAATATGCATCCTGGATTCCACAGCTAATCACCATCCAACAAAAACAATTTAGGCATGATTTAAATAGCAAATAGCCTGTCTTCATTCAACTAGATTTTAAAGGTGAAAACATTGCAGAAATGGTCAACAGAAGACTGAGAACGTCACTAGCCAGAGCCTACCCTGCAGCTAAGTTGGTTCGTGTCCTTCGAACAACATGCTCTTTGGTGCAGTCAAAAGTCGATAGATACCCTTCTCATATTAACTCCAACTGTGTACACAAATTTACGTGTATCTGCAGGAGCAGTTACATTAGGAGAACAGAAAGAAGGGCATATCTACGATTTTCTGAACATGTGCTGAAAAGCCTACGTCTCAAGGGAACAAACTCTTATAGCAGCGCTATTACTAGACATCTTCTCGACACGGGTCACGGGGTGGAAATCGAGAAATCCTTTAAAATTATCAATAGACAAAGGAGCTCCATTCTCCTCAAGTTTGCTGAAGCAATTTCTATCAGACGCTTGAAACCAGATTTATGTATTCAGAAAGAAGCAGTTATTAGTCTTCCCTTGCCCTGGTAACTGGATGTCTTTAGTCTCTCGTCTGATTACGTAATCTTTGTCTTCAACCTCACCCCCTTTTATAATCTGTAATTTTGCTTGTCTCTTGTTTCTATGATTTGAGTTGAACTCAGTACATTGCTACCTAATTTATTAGTCACTCTGCATCTTACGCATCTCTCGTCTTTATTACGTAACTCCTTTACCATTGTATGCATACATTTATTTTGTTTAAACTTGAACTGCCTGTGTAAAAACTATATAAGTGCAATTTTCTGAGCACGGTTCACTTACTGTGGAACTTTTTGTCAACTGACAACATGTAAAATTTGCAAGTATGTTAAAACTTTTCTGTACATAAACCTCATAGTTTATTTAGGCTATAAGCAGCTGATTAGAAGCCAACGAAATAAATGATGGTACCATATTATTCTGCACAAACCACTGTTGTTCTTGCTTTATTCAAATAGGAAATATTTGTATTCAGTAAGTTATGCTTCATTGTTTTACTTCACTTGATTTTATCCCTTATTCGACTCAGCAATAAGGTGTTGACAAAGTAACTCTTAAAAGCCTATATCCCAATTCACAACTATTATAAAGACTAAATATTTATAATAATAAAGTTGTGATTAGATATGGTGAGAATTTTCAAAATGATAGTTTGTTACGAATAGACTAGTTAAAATGGTTGTTTTTCTTAAAACCTGAATGAATATATCATAAGAAATTTAATAAATTAACATTTTACGGAACAATAGGCGTAAACATATCAAAGTTATTTAACTTATAACTAACTTCACCTAATAATATATATATATATGTGAACACATGAAATTAAACCCTGTCTAATAAGAATAAATCATAAACTATTAGTAAAATAAAGAATACACTTTCTACAAAAGAAACTGGTTATGGATACACAGCTAAGAAAAGTGTAAAATTAGCTGAAGTGCTCAGGTCTTAACCAATTGGTATCAAGGTGTCCAAATCCTTCTCTACTTACTTCTACCTGGCAAAACAGCCTAGTATCAGCAACCATAAAACAGTATATGTCACCACGGATAGCTGCTGCTTCGGCGCCGTGATCAGGCATGTATATCGAAATGACCCAAAAAGATACACTCTCTGGTACATAGGTTCCAGTGGATCCTACCATACCAGAAATCTTGTTCTTATAGCGGTTAAACTTAAAGCAATTACTAGCATACTGTAAGTTGTTTACACTACTTCAAGTGACTGAGGGCAAAGTAGTACTACGGACTAATAGAAATATAACAACAGTAAAGTGTCCCCCTCAGATGGTCAGCAAGTCAGCTATCTTACCCTACAGCCTTAAGGAGTGCGGGTAGGAAAGGTCGACACCTAAAATTGTACACCTCAACTTACAATGCGGTGGTACGATCCTCTTGCGGACACAGCTCCAAAAACCAACTAGAACTGGCCATGACTGACCAACGTAAAACAGTTACCCCTTCAGGATCCGCAATCACACAACACTAATGCTCCTCACTGAAGCATTTCAAGGAGAAATCAACCTAGACTGTGTGGGCAGTCGAGAAGTAATAACCGTTTATACACTTCCATAAGCACACAAAGCTTTCCTCATTAGTCAGTCACACAATATATTAAGCTCGTGTGATGATATATATTCAGGGCTCTATCTTCTCGTTAATTTGGCAATAACATTCATTTAATGATGTAATATGACACGCCCATGTATAGATGGATGACACCTGTCAATTAATTTTTATGATTTCACTGCATTATTCTCTTCTTGTAATCATAGTGAAATATTCACATTAGGCAGGGGTAAAATAAACTAAATATTATGATGAAACGAAAATGGCTAAAAAGGCATGTACTATCTTTTAAAGCATACATTTCCAGGTCATTTAGAAGAAAAATTTTGAGGCACCTTGATTTTTAACAGATTTAAGAATGTTGCTTTTTTGAAGTAAAAATAACGAGAATAAATACTGTCATATATCTGTGAAATATATCTGGCTACCTGGCATGTGACTACTACAACTGACTAAATTTCATTTATTCTGATAATACAACATTACTAATACAGTCTTCTATGGTGAGTAATATTGAGGTTAGGCATCGAGAGTTAGGTGAGGACGGCAATTCAATTGATGAGGTTTGTAAAACAACATCGATTAAGAATGTCTAGGGCATGTGTTACGGCTGACAAGACATCGCCTTTTTCGTCGGAAGATGTTAGCTGACATTAAATTGGAAGGGAGTTAGGGAGGTGCAGTTAAATCATAACATGGCATCAGACCATGTAGATTATAATACTAAGAAAAAGACGCATTTTATTACATGAATACACCTTTTCGGGAACAATTATTAAAGGTATTAACAAATACCTAATAAATGAGGAAGAAAATATGAAAGAACATAGATGGGGAAAACAGGAAAACATGGTGTTTCATTGCAATAAATTTATCTTCAAGAGTTAATTTGTAGGGATTCGGTATGTTCATTCAGGGGACCATAAAAATCTATGGAGTTACGGACAGCTGTTTCGTCCTCCTTAGGGACTCTTCATCAGTACGCACCCAAGACAACATCACAGATTGAACACAGAACTTTCAGGTCACAAGATCAAGCTCGTTGACGATTCAAACACTTGGTCCGCAATCCAGTGGTCCATGAATTCTAACCTGTGTCATTTCAATCCCTGATGATTTGATGACGGAGGAACGGCGGTGTAGTATTTCCTGATTTTCAGTGGTTATATATCTAACAGAGCTCAGTATGTGATCGAACTAAAAGCAAATCGTATTTCTACAAACTAATTCTTTAAAATACATTTACTGCAATGAAACGCCATGTTTTCCTTTTTTTTCCTCTATGTTCTCTCATCACATTTTCTGTTTCACAAACTGTATAATTATCAGTGGATATATATATATATATATATATATATATATATATATATATATATATATATATATATAGTTCGACATTTTCACGCCTTAGTGAGAATATATGTATATAGAGGGAGACAGATACAACAAGCATCTCATCATAAAACTTGGATTATATGTTGTTGTTTTTTTCATAACCAATCAGAGCTTCAAAAATATTTAACTGATATAATGGAGTGAAAGTCTTATTTTCTAAAAAGGAAAGAGGGCTGGGGGGGGGAGAGGGTGGAAATTAATCCAATATCTCTTGCTTTCACTGCTTACTCTTCAGTTATGCATGCAGTTCCACGCATTCATATTGATTATATGCTGTATATGCATACATAATCTAGTGTCTGCTGGTGTCTCTTGTGTTCGATATTTCTGCCCGTGTTATAACTGGGAAATAAGTGATCTGTATTGATTTATGAACAAATAATAATATTTCTTTTGTAAATATTCCCCCACCCCATTCCAAGCCAAAACGAAAAATACATAAATTAGTTTTATCTCCTCTTTTTTTAAAAATCCATTTACAATGAAAGTGTACTGCCATCTTTTTTGAAGTGGTGCAAAGTTTTATTGCATCCATTATTTATTATTATAATTCCCTTAAGTACCAAGTGAGAAAAAGGTCTGAACAACACTTCTCCATGTAATCTTGTTTTCTGCGGTCCTTTTTAGCTAGCTCTACGATTTCCTATAAGCTCTCATCTCCCCACCACACAATCTTCACCATGTCAACCTCGGATAAATGGCCTACTCATCTTTTCTAATTCAGTTTCCTCTCGAGGGCATGGCGTGAGATTACTCAACGGTCTACTCAGTGTAACTCCAATCCCTCTCCATTTTCTTTTGCACATATGTTTGGAAATAAGTTCATGGTTGGTTAGTTACTTATCCTTTCTAGCCGGTTATCTGTTTGACTGACTGGTTTCAATGCAGAAATCTGAACAAATGTTCAGCAGTTCGAGTTGCCACACTTCTTCCATATAGCACACAAAGTAGGAGAAGAGAGTAGAGAGCGATTCAAAGGGGCGGTGGAGAGATGATGAACAGAAATGTGAGGCAAAAAGAATAGTAATATGGAAGAACAATAGAATTTTATTGGATATTATAAATCACAAAGAGTGAATGCATATGCATCAGCCATTGAGAACGATGAGTTTGAGCCATATCACCAATTGTCTCCAGCCATCATTGGTTTTTATCATCCCGAGGACACCAACCAACCAGGAAGTTTATACCTCCCTACGTGACTGACTTAAACTAACTGTTGTGGATTTCATGGACTGATTCCATGATTGGGTTTGACCACCAATGGTTCTTTTCCAATCTGATCCGACGTCAGCTAAAATCACCCTTAGAAGAAGGTGGTCATCTGATCTTCAGTATGCAGTCAGCGAAGGCACTAGGTGATATCAGTCTGTAATAACCTGTTCGAAATGCTTTTGGTGACTCGCACGCCAAATCTCTGAAGCATATAGAAGCACTGACTTGACATTAGTGTTGAAAATCTTAATCTTGTTCCTTATTTTGAGTACAGTAGATTTCCACACTGATTCCAGATTAATGAAGGTTTGTCTGGCCTTTCCGATCTTGGCTTTGACATCTCCACCTTTAGTTAAAACAATGTTGACTAAATAAGTGAATGAGGTAATTCCCTTCAAAATATCTTCTGATGATGGTGATTGGAGCTTGTTTTAGTTGATTGGTGGGTTTCTTCATCACCTCTATCTTTTTAGGTTCACTTGAAGTCCTGTCTTCGCTGCTCTTTCTACCAACTTGATGGTTTTCGTCAGTAGACCTACGAGTTTGTGTTACATTATTATTATTATTATTCAAACACAGAATGGGTACAATATGAAAACCAAGACTTCGGTCACACGAGAACTAACATCTATGGATCACAACGCATGGGAACAGCATGAATATTGAGAAACAGGATTAGAAAAATAAGGAAGGTATGCTCATCATGTTGAGCGTTTTAAAAAATTATTCATTACTTCAGGTTAGTTTCAGAAAGAGGGGGGGAGAAGGAGGAAATTACAACCTGATCACCTATGATTACGATTCTCGGCTTTTTCTGAAGGCACTACTACAGATTGTCTCTCCGATTTTATTCACAGATTCGTGATACACCGATAGATACCAACATAAAACAAGTACCTTTCGTCTCAGAGTGCCACGACATGGTCCCAGTCCCATAGTGAGCAAACAGTGAACGGTAAACGAGCGCCTCTGAGATAACATTAGTATTATATGGTCCGAGCCACCGAAGCTAGTGTTCCAAGAGGACAGCACTTATTACTGCAAGATAATCTCCGGTATGTACAGAATAATAAAAGAACTGAATATACAATTCACTCACAATATACGTAACAAAATTCGGTTACGTCACACTGGACGATACTGACATGTGTCTTTTGAAAAACATTTCATTCAAGGAACTTAACTAAGAAGCTTATACATAATTTATGTGTAAATGAGGACGAACTAATTTGATTTACAGTGTGGCAGCTGATGATTCCACCTTGTTTCCTAAGGCAGAAGTATGTGGAGTGGGATTCGAACCTGTGACCTGTTAGCTCAAAGTCTAGTGCTTAGACCAACGAGCCACTTCTGCATATATATATATATATATATATATATATATAAATACAGTCAAGTATAAATATAAAAGCATACCTGCTTCAAACGGTTTATGTCTGCACAGTGTGAATATGCTTCTGAATACTTAATACCACCATTTGTAAAATCCGATATGGAATTGGTTAAAAGCTTCTCTTGTACTCTATTCTCATCAATACTGAAATTAAGATTTCCATCTGAAACACCTCGATCTCTTGAACAATGGGTACGGCTAGCGTCTGGAGTAGAACACACTGCAGACAACACCTCAGATAAATCAGAATCATGCAAACCAATATGCTCAAAAACTGAATTCTGACCACGTAGAGAAGAAAGTTCCAAACCAGCATCAGTTGGGGAATGATCGTCGGATGATTCCTAAGGCATTGAATACAAATGAGAAAGGTTTAAAATATTGAGTTATATATGAAAAGAAAATTAACAGACTTATTTATAGAAGAAAAATTCCTTCTCAACGATTTCATTTTAAAGCTGCACAGCCATAACATTTGGTAAAATATGTTTGTGTCAAAGCTCAGTTAACCGGAACAGATTTTTCATGTACCAGGCAGGCTAAAAGTCCCACTTATCGTGTAAGGGTTGATGATGCTACGCAGTTGCTCAGGATGAAGTAGGTGGAGTGGGACTGGAACCCGTGATCTATCGACAGAAAACGGAATGCCTGATTCAATGAGCCACACCCCAACATTTGGCAAAATAAGACAGTAACTACTAGGGGGGGGGTAGAATTGTTTATTTAAAATAAATAAGATAAAAAGTCAACAAGACTTTTGTTGAAACAAAAATATTTCTTCCCCGAATACATCTTTCCATATATGTTTACGTTTCATCTCATGTGTTAGGTGGTATGATCAAGTGAGCAATATTGAGGTTAGCCATAGATTGCTTTGTAGGGAAAAGAAATCAATCAATGAGGTTGTGAAGCTATATCGATTGAGACGGTTGGAACACGTGTGGCGCACATCGATCTACCGCCTTCCCCGATGAGCCATTTTAACTGACATCGGATTGGTATGGAATAGAGTTACCGTGGGTGGTCAAACCAAACGGCAACATCAATTTATGAAGTCTTTGACAGTTGGTTTGAACCAGTTACGCAGGGAAGTGTCGACTCTGTGACTGGTTATGGTCCTTAGGATCTTAAGAACCAATGAGTGGAGACTACCGGTTGTATAGCTCAATGGTATGCAGACACATCCACTCCTTGTCATCTCTCACAGATCCATTGAATCCTCATGTTTTTTACATGTTATTATTCTTTCTCTCGTACATTTATGTTTATTATAGTTCTACTGAATTTCTTTTTTCTTTCTTTTGTCTACCTTTGTGGGCTATATGGTGAGTGTTGTGGTAACTTGAGCTGCTGCAGTTTTGTGCAAACGTCTACTTTGAAATCCAGACAGTCAGTCAATTGGAATAAATGTCTCAAGAATTTAGTGACTACTTTGCTTTTATTATTTATGAATAAAATAGATATATCATGTTATAATGGAGGAAAGAAGAGAAACTCACGCTTTCTAATGGGATATTACTCATTTCTTGAACAGTTGCTTCAGAATTATGAATATAACTAGGTTTACTAGATCTAGATACTCCAAAAATTTGTTTAGTTGAAGAGTTTGTATTTGATCTTCGTCGAATGTGTGCAAAACGTTTCGCGAATCGTCCACCAGCTAAACTCATACCATGACCGCTACCACCACCTCTTTGAATACGTGAAGAATCATTGGATTGCAATGGGGCAGTATCAGTATATGTGATTGTCGATGAACTCGACGGTGGTTGTAATTGTGGGGAACTATGGTCTAAATGGAATAGACCAGCAGATTTATCAACTGATTTTCCAAAAGGTTTTTGAAGGTTAACAGATTTACCAACAGATGCTAACATAGAGCGTAATTGTATAGTATCTGGAGATGTATCCGTTTCACTTTGAGCAAGTAATTCTCTCTGTAAACGTTTTAGAAGTTTAGCACCAGCATCCTAATGAGAATGAAAAATGCATAAGATTGACATAAAATAATTTGTCAGATATGATGATGCTGACTAAACTAAAGAAAACAATTGAACTTCAGGTATGTAGTGAACACGCAGACTGATGACTATATACACAGCTTAAAGATAGGAAGCAAAGTAGTGGCTTAGCGTGTTGACCACTTCACTTATTTGGGGAGTTGTATCACACCTAAGGGTTGATCGGTGACGAAATCTCAGCACTGATACACAAGGTTCGTGTGGCATTTGACAACTCAGGTCATCTCTGCGATATCCGGCTACAGATCGAACGACGTGTGTACTGCTCAGCAGTTCCCTCCGTCCTCCTTTTTGACTAAGAGACATGACCATTAAAAGTGGAAGACAAAAAAAGACTGTCTGCCATTGATCATACGTGTTTGTGTTCTATCTTCCATGTTAGGTGGTATAATAGCGTGAATAATATTGAGGTTAAGCGTATAGTGTTAGGTAAAGAGAGAGAATCAATCGATGAGGTTGTGAAGGAACATCGACTGATATGACTAGGACACGTGTTACACCTTCCTCGACAGACAGTGTTAGCTGACATGGGGATAAGTTGGAAAAGAGCTAGTGGTGGTCAAACCTAATCATGGAATCAGTCCATGAAATCTTTAACAGTTAGTTTGGGTCACTTAGGGAGGTGTAAACTTCCTGGTTGGTTGGAATCATTGGGATTTTAAAAACCACTGACTGCAGGCGATTGATGACCTGCCTTAAAATCATTCTCAATGGTGCAGATGAATTCACTCTTCGTGGTCTGCTACATCCAGTAAACCATGATGTTTTCCCACGTTACTATTCCTTCTCCTTCACAATTTCGCATACAGTTGCTCTTTTGAATCTCTTCTTTCTCTCCAGTATCTTCATTTGCATGCTACAAGTAGTGTGGCAACTCGAACTGCTGCACTTCTGTGCAGGGTTCTATGCTGAAACCAATTAGGTGGTCATGATTACATATAATTATTTTGATTGGACATTAGATAGTAACTAATATAATACGTATAGTCCTTCTTATAGTGCAGACTGAATTCTATCAGACACATTTGCAATGTAGCTACCATGCTAGGTGGCTCGCCATCGCAGTGCATCCTGAACTGATGTAAGATGGTGGAGGCAATCAGTAGGGAGCCTTGTTTAGACCTAGGTCTCGTGCTTATTGGTACTAGTCATCAAGGCTTATCTGTTACCTTGAACGAACCAATGTCCCTCCTGAGATGGGAACCCGAGTCATTCAGTGTTGCTGCAGTTACAGACTTTACCACTGACTTATTCATCAGGCTCGCGATTGTCACAATGCAAACCTGACTGATAGAATTCGAATCCCGGTGGGTACGGACTGATAAAGGCCCCCAGATTAGGCTGACGGAACTGTTGTCCAGTACTCCCATGTTTTCCAATGGTTCTCTAACCGATGTCAGCTCATGATGAAATCCTCCAACCAATCAAACAAAATTCCTACAAACTAATACTTGGAAATTGATAGAATTCAGTCTGCTCCAACGGCAAAGAGTAGACGCATGGCAAAAAAAGACAGATACGTAAAGGCACGCAAAGACGTATCAGTAGCTGGAATTCGAAAAACCCACACGAAAAGATCTGAAGATAGTGAATAACATTTGAACGAGTCAGCGATTCTACACCTATTGTACTTAAGTTTCTAATCAGTTTCTTATTTAACAAATACTTACGTTCACTTATGAAAATGTGTAAAGTAAACATTTTAGCAGTAATCAATATAAAGTTGATAAACTTGGCTACAGAAGTTCAATATTAACCAGATTTAAACAGTTTTGGAACAGTGTGCAATACTATGAACTTAGTATTGCTGTAAACAAAAACATACTATTATTATTAGTTAACCAGAAAAATCGATGTTTCTTATCAATACCTCATCAATGATATATATTACTTAAAAAATAAATCTAGTGTGCTCACTAGTGACTGACTGCATGATGGAGTACCTGAAGTTGTAGTGAGACGTTGTAAGCAAAGAGATCCATCAAGTCGCACGAGAGGAGATACTCACCGATAGTATTAGCTATCAGTGGTTTCAAATATCAGGAATTGGTACAAGTTAGAACCGATGGGCTGGTCATTAGATTCTATTCTAGTGGCTGAATAATAGTTGAAGGGCTCATCTTGTAACCTGAACGTTCTGAGTTTAACCCCAATGAGCTTCGTAAACTAGCTTCGTATACAAATCAAATCCCTACAAATTAAAACACTTGGAAATCACATAATATACCATAAAAGACTGTAGGAAGGATATCGAATGTTAGAGGTTTATCAAAAGGAAGCTGTGCAACTGCGAAATTTATGCTTGTAGTTACCAATTAACGAAGATCATCCCACCGTATAACATGCAAGCATGTACCAATGAGAAAACATTTCCAAATCTTAGACTCAAATAGAGAAAAGGAGAAGGAGGAAGAGGAATACTAGAAGAGAGTTTAGCCGAATGGTCTTATTTTAGTTAATTAGATAAAGAAGGGTAGTAAGTAATCTTAAAATTAGTTCACAGCTCCTACAAGCATGCTTATTCTATACAATCGTTTTGTATTTTCTCTACACGCATGCAACGGATTAGGGTGTTTTATTGTAGGAAAAGATTAAATGAATGAATGTACACAATCCAGGTATCCAATAGACATGCATAGTATATTTTCTCATGAAACTAAAATATATTTACAAGATGTTATTAGTATTCTTAAGGATTTACACTGACTTTTTCAAGAACCAGAGCATAAACTGGAATAAGCTTTCAAAAGCGACAGGCTTGAAACCCTAATTCTTAACTTTTTACTGCTACTATGTATGGATGAATAACGAGACGGACGGTTTCATGATCATCACGCTAACTGATAATGTGTAATATAATTTTTTTTAATTTTGAAAAAAAAATCATTCGGAAATATACTAAGTGGGACATTCGGTTACAATCAAAGGTGTTTCTCAAGTGTTGAAAATTGCCTTCAGGAAGTGACTATTATATATATATATATATATCGATCAGATTGCTCAGCCCCGTTGCCCCATAAGCAATCAGATATGACCGAATGTACGTAGACTTTTTTCTTTTCTCTCAAAATGCGTCCATACCCTGTGTCACTCAAATCCTATTCACTACCTTTTTACGCAACGAGTGTTTCCTCACAAAAACTAAAGGGCAAATGTGCAAATATTTGACCCTTAAAACTAGAATGGTCACCATGCAAGTTCCTCTATCAGAGCTGGATTACCCTAGCTCCAAACTTATGCTGGTGTACATGAGTTGCAGAATCAGACTAGAATGGATGGCGTAGGAACCTGTTTCGATCATTGGGAATCATGAGAAAGTAATCCCTATGGGTTGTTCCACTGCCTTGTTGATCAGACCTTAAGTCAAAGGCTTCGTAAGGTAAGTTACCCCCCCCCCAAAAGACAAGGACCAGCTTCTGTTTAGGCGTCCGGGCATTATCCCAGCTCTCTCGTAAACTACGAGATTTTGTGTGGCGCATCTCTTGGTGCTCAAATAAAGTGCTAATTTTGAGTTGTAATCAATAGAAACATAATGATCAGTCGTATTACGTGGTACACGATCTCCTTGATTGGATACCACCGTAAAACAAGTAACATAAAGTTTTAAATCTTGATTAAGTTGATAAATCATGGTATATATATATATATATACATCAAAGCAAGGATCGGGAAAGCAAGACAAGCTTTCATTACTCTCAAGTCTGTGTGGAGGTCAACAGCACTCAGCATCAAAAATAAGATCCGGATTTTCAACTCTAATGTGAATTCAGTGCTACTTTCTATGCGGATCAGAGACTTGCACTGAGCGTCATAAAGAGCATCTCAAACAAACTACAGACCTTCATTAACAGTTGTCTTCGATCAATACCACTCAAGATCAGATGGCCAGAAAAGATCAGCAACAAAGATCTCTGGGAGCGAACCAACCCAGCAGGAACCAATTGTGAAACAAATAGGAGGGAAGAAATGGAGATGGATTGGCCATACTCTGAGGAAACCATCAAGTGACATCACTAGACAAGCCATTGCTCGAGTGGAACCCGAAAGGGAAGCGGCGAGTTGGTCATCAGTGCAAGGGTGACTTGGAGGAAGTCATGTGAAGAGGAGATGAGAGCGTGTGGGCAGACTTGGAGCCAGGTGAAGACTCTAGCAGAGAACCGAACTCAATGGAGACGTGAGGCTGAAGCCCTATGTTCCTCTAGGAATTAAAGGAAACAACTATATATATATATATATATATATCAATAAGAAATTATATGAGTCGTACGAGAGGTGGCTCCTGTAACCTACTGAATAACGCTACGACGTTTCAACAGAAGTATACTGTATACTCAAGTATCAGTAGGGACACTACTACCCACTCAAGAGCAATTGCATCCGACTGACGAGTCGTAAATAGGACGAAACACGTATGCTTTCTTCTACTGCCACTTATCATCGCACAAGTAACTTGAATGGCAAGGATACATTTAAATTTTTCCTTTAAGAATAAAAAATCCAGAATATGTATGACTTGACGTCACAAGTTTCTACTTGTTAGTTGCTTTTTTCTCTTAGCACAAATCATAAACATCCGTACGCCTGTGACATTTATTACAAAATCATCTATATTACAAGCTGATAGACATATCAGTGTTAAGTCAAAACAAGATGACTATTGTATATACTGACACATACTTTGTACATATAAACAAAACACATAAATTTTGATTAAATTTAGACTGTAGCTGATATAGTCGCTTAGTTAGTGTATCTGAAATGTAAGAAAATATAAACAACACGCAAACCTCTGATGTCATTTTGTCATTTATTTATTTATCAGAAGATTTACCATGTGACTATTCATTCTATGGACTTAGTGAATATGCTGAACGAAAATTCCATCTTTTACTCTCTGCTATTTTTTTATAGAAAATAGAACTTTTGGTATAAAATATTTCAATGTAGAT